CCCACCCCTTTAAACGTCTTTGGGGGCGGCCCTGAAAAGGGCCTTTGGTCGGGTAACGACGGGACGCGAGGACGGGGTCGCTCAGCCGCCGAAGCCGTAGAGGGTGCGGCCCTGGCGCTTGAGCGCGTACACCACGTCCATGGCCGTGACCGTCTTGCGCTTGGCGTGCTCGGTGTAGGTGACGGCGTCCCGGATCACGTTCTCCAGGAACACCTTGAGCACCCCGCGGGTCTCCTCGTAGATGAGGCCGGAGATGCGCTTGACGCCGCCGCGCCGGGCCAGGCGGCGGATGGCCGGCTTGGTGATGCCCTGGATGTTGTCGCGCAGCACCTTGCGGTGGCGCTTGGCGCCGCCCTTGCCCAGGCCCTTCCCGCCCTTGCCGCGACCAGACATGCTTGGTTTCTCGGATAGCAAGTTTCTGTGTCATGAAAGGCCACTGCGCTCTCTTACATAGCAATTACGCGGACCTTTTAGAAAACTGAAAGAGCGGAGGCGGGAAGAGGCCCTTTGTCCCCGCCTCTTCCCCGCCTTCCTTGGCCTCCCTGGCTGATGCCTGCTTAGACAGGCGGGCGGTGAGCAGGAAGTGCGGTTGGCGGGCTTTCCCTGCTCCCGCGTCTGCGTTCTGAGCCCTTAGCTCTCCCAGTCCTGGGCCTTGAGGTGCGCTCCCACAACTGGTAGGAACTCAAGTCCCCTAACCAGGCGCGTTCCTGCAATAAGGAGTTGGTAATGCCACCCCTGTCTACCGAAGCAGAGATGGCAGAATAAACTTGGTTTCTAAGTGGGAACATTGTTGTAAAAGGACAGTTTCCGAGTTCTTGCATTCTCCCATACTCTGTTCAGCCTGGCAGGTGAGGACATGGCGTTGACTGACAGGTGCACTTCGGTGGCTCTCAGCATCCCCGGCAGGGCAGCTCCAGGAAGGGGCCAGCGTGTGTGGCATCCCCACTGCTTCCTGTTCATGAAACTCTGTCCTCTGAGCAGGCGGAATCCCAGGGTATAGGCCCAGCTCTCTTCTAGGAAGTGATCTCCGTGGCCAGAGAAGTCTGGTAAGAGTGCAGAGGAGTACAGAGGCTACTGAACCTCCGCCTGAGTAAAGAGTAGTGCAGTCAGGCCTTCTGTGTGCTACGGAGGTAAGTGAAGTCCAGCGGAGAGAGAAAACCCCACTGTTCCAACTTTGTCAGCAGAGAGTTATTTTTTTTTGGAGAGGTTTTTCACTATGGGGCGTGTGCGCTCGCCAGACAGAGAGAGACATAGACACAGAAAGTGAGAAATCACCCCCCAGGGGGGATGGTCACGCCGCAATCCCTTCTCCATTCTCTCGGGATCTTGGGCACGCACGCACATGCGCCCGGCTTGAGTTTTAAGCCACCGGGTCCAGGACGTGGAATGTGGTCGACTACGTTGGAGTCCAGCGACATAGCCATTATGCTAACTGCTGGTTCCCAGCAGAGGGTTATTTACTGTGTGGTCAGTGTCTACTGGGGACCTGTAAAGGCACCAAACAAGCATCATTCATTCATTCAATAGGGTCTATCATGTGCCACGAATCTTTTGCCAGCACATACCATGAGTCCTGTGCATATGTAGGGTCTGCCACGTGCTACGAATCCTGTGCTAACACATACCACGAATCCTGTGTATATGTAGGGTCTACCACGTGCCACGAATCCTGTGCTAACACATACCACAAATCCTGTGTATATGCAGGGTCTACCACGTGCCACAAATCCTATGCATACCACTAATCCTGTGCATATAGAGGGTTTATCACGTGCCACGAATCTAGTGCATGCCCCAGGTTTACAAAGACAACCACAGGTTCATTTAAAAAACTCAGGAGGGTCTAGCTAGAGAAAGGAGTAGTAAGTACAGATGAGGGATCAGATGTCAGCCCAGTGGATTCCTGCTTGCTGCCTCAGCTCGGGGGACAGAGTGGCAATATTGCAGCTGCACAGCCATTCCCTCGAAGCCTAGGAGATGTAACTTCAGCCAATCTGAACTCTGCTAACTTGATCTGCATTTTCCACAAGATCTCCAAGTGGGTGGTCCACTTACTCAAATAAAAGACTGGTTAACAACGGCGCTGTTGCGTGTTACAGGCATGGTGCCCACTACCCGTGACGTCGGTGCCCAGGTACCCCTGGTGCACCAAGGCGGTCTGCAAGCACACAAGGGTGCTACCCCCTGGCACGTGCAGACTCCAAACTTCTGGGCTCGTTGGGAGCTGTATGGAGCTGTGATGTGGGTGGAAAGTTAGCCTCCCAGGGCCCAAGGAAGAGCCATGTGACTCCATGCAGCACAGCCCCCGCCCTCTAGAAGCTTTTGAGAAAGCGCTTTCTTGCGGAACTTGTCTCAGTTCTTGGCCACCGGGAAAGGCAGAGATGACCTATGAGCAGTTAAGGGCATGGCTCTAAGCCCTTGTGTCTTCTCGTTTACTGCCACCTACGTAGCGGTGGGATGCACCCAGAGCTTCCGGGCATGACGTGCTGCCCTCTGCGACTGAATGCATGTAACTGTCAATGGCTTCAGCAGATAGTCCAGATGTGTCGGACTATGAGAACAGCAAAGGTGAAGATCTGAGCACAGAGTTTAAATTATGTAGATCTAAGCACAGAGGTGATCTAAGATTTGTGCTCAGATCTACTTACACATACACCTACCGGCCCCAGGAAAAGGGCCTGTGTAGTGCTCATAACTACCCCTCTGGACAATGAAGCTACTGATGGTGACACAGAGCCCCTTCCTCCAGGTCCCCAGGGTGCTGCAGAGGGGAGTGTCCACTTCCATCCATCCAGTCTGGAAGCCGACCTCCTTGATACACACTGTGTGTATTATGTGTGTGTGCTTTTTAGCATATTTATTTATTTAATAATATTATTATTTTAAATTTGCTATATATACAGCATGTGCACTCACCAGAGAGAGAGAGACAGTGAAAGAAAAGAGAGACATCAAGCCACCGGGTGTGGGACTTGACCTGGCGCTGTCTATGTGGGAGTCCAGTGCCCCAACCACCAGGCCACCTTGCAGCCCCCGTAGTAATTGCATTATTATGGTATATGACAGGGTCTTCAGCTCCAGAGACTTGCTTCCAGTCTGTGCCAGGCAATAACTAGTTTTGTGAAAATGGCAAGTGATTTGTATGGGATTAGTTTCAGGTGGGAAGATGACGTTTTTAAAGTGAATTATTCCGTCTCTGCTTCATAGGAAGCAGTCCTCAAGTCAACCTTGAGTGTAGCACATAATTACTAGTTGTGAACATGTGAGCATTTATTAGAAGAAATGCAATAACAGTACTTGTGTTCACAGACTAATATACGTGGGTCGCATTCCGGTGTCTGGTGATATGGTGGAGAATATTAATTTTGTGCCTAATTATCCATTGACCCAATTTCTATGGGCTCTGTTGCTTAGCTAAAAGAGAGAGTAGTTAAGGCACTTGCGGTGGCTACGAAATGTCCCTTCACCCCCTGACGTGGACGTCCTCAGCCATTATATGTTGGCTATGACTTGTCCAACTCATCATTCGGTCGAGGGAAGTCTAGGGACATTCAGTAAGTAATTTCAATGGTTTGTTTCTTTCTCTGGGCCCATACTTGCAATGTGGAAATTTGTTTTTTTAAATGTTATTGTGTAATGCACGGAACATGTAGGAAATTCTACCCTGGATACTGGAGGAAAAGTGATAGACAGGGCATAGTGTTAGAGGTGGGACATGAACGCCTGTGCTCTGAGTTTGCAGCTCGGGGCTGGTATGGCCGCCGGAGCTGCCGTCTCGAGGGCAGGAGCCTTGTTTCTGTTGTCAGCTGCGGTGCTTGAACTCTCTCCCCACTGGGGTTCTGCAAACCCATGATCTTTATTTTTAAGGACAGGTTGGTGACTTTGCTTAGACCTGATTATTGCAATGCAAATGGAGCAGCCTTACCTGCCGCTTCCAGAAAGTGTTTTGGTCACTAAAATACAGGGATTGAGCCCTGGTTACACACAGGTAATTAAAATTCTTCTAAAAAGTCTGTCTTTTTAAAAAATAATCGTCCCTCTTGCACAGAGAAGTTCTTACCCCAGTGCCAGCGCCGAGAGCTCGAGAGATCGGTGCAAACAGCTCACTGGCCTGTCTGTGCTACTGCTCCCGCGAAAAACCCGAATTTCCCTATATGGTTAAGCAAGACAGTCGTTCTTTGTATAAAGGGCAGAAGGTAAGAATGTACAGAACAATGCCCTGGAGAAAAGATTTGCGAACAGAGCAGAGAGAGATAGTATTTTTAAGGAAAACCCGAAAGTTGTCTGAATTTGACTGGAGTTTGAAAGAGAGTTGGGGGAATCAGGAAAGCTTCGGGGTGCCGTTTTAGAGACTAGGGATAGAAAATGAGGCAGGAATGAAGCCTGAGTCCTCTCGGATCCGTTTCCCCCAAATCCCTAATTATTTCGTGCCCAGATTTCTTTTATTTTTGTTCTTTTTTAAGAAGCAACAAACACAGCCCCACGGCAGAGCGGAGCCCTTCCCCAGCAGCGCGGCGCTTGGAGCAGGGGACCAATCACCACTCAGCGTCTCTCTATATAAACCCGAGCCGCTGGCGCTGGGGACACGCCGTTCTGACAGGCTGAGCTAACTTTTGGCATTTCTGGCAAAGCAGAAAACATGTCGGAGACTGCTCCCGTGGCTCCCGCCGCCCCCGCCCCTGCGGAGAAGAGTCCACTGCAGAAGCAAGCGAAGACAGGCGGGGCCGGTGGGAGGACGCCGGCCCTGTCGTTGTCGAAGCTGATCACGGAAGCTCTGTCCGCGTCGCAGGAGCGAGCTGGCATGTCGCTGGCCGCGCTCAAGAAGGCGCTGGCGGCCGCGGGCTACGACGTGGAGAAGAACAACAGCCGCATCAAGCTGGGCCTCAAGAGCCTGGTGAGCAAGGGCACCCTGGTGCAGACCAAGGGCACCGGCGCCTCGGGCTCCTTCAAGCTCAACAAGAAGGCGGCCTCCGGGGAGGCCAAGCCCAAGGCCAAGAAGGCGGGCGCGGCCAAGGCCAAGAAGCCCGCCGGGGCCGCCAAGAAGCCCAAGAAGGCGACGGGCGCGGCCACCCCCAAGAAGAGCGCCAAGAAGACCCCGAAGAAGGCCAAGAAGCCGGCAGCAGCAGCTGGGGCAAAGAAGGTGGCCAAGAGTCCAAAGAAGGCGAAGGCTGCCAAGCCCAAGAAGGCCGCCAAGAGCCCCGCCAAGGCCAAAGCCCCCAAGCCCAAGGCCCCCAAGCCCAAGGCTGCCAAGCCCAAGGTGACCAAGGCGAAGAAGGCGGCCCCTAAGAAGAAGTGAAGGAGCAGCCGCCCGTCCTGCTTTCAAACCTCAAAGGCTCTTTTCAGAGCCACCCAGAGATCTCGGTTAAAAGAGCTGAGCTGCCTTTGCGATCCAGGAACCGGCTTCTCGGTGTGTTTTTTAAAATTCCCGCCCCGCTGTGCGATTGGCGCGCTGCTTTTGCGGTTCGCGCACGCTCGCCGGCGCTGGCGGACTCCCTAAGATGGTGGCTGCCGAGACGCGCGGCGCCGAGGGGGGCCTCCCAGCGGGGTGCAGGGGTGGGGTCGTGGTGCACCATTAAGGCCTGGATGTTGGGCAGGGCGCCGCCCTGCGCGATCGTCACCTTGCCCAGCAGCTTGTTGAGCTCCTCGTCGTTGCGGATGGCCAGCTGCAGGGGGGGGGGGGGGAAGCGCGGCTTCTTGCGCGGGATGATGCGCGTCTTCTTGTTGTCGCGCGCCGCGTTGCCCGCCAGCTCCAGGATCTCGGCCGTCAGGTACTCCAGCACGGCCGCCAGGTAGACCGGCGCGCCGGCCCCGACCCGCTCGGCGTAGTTGTCCTTCCGGCAGTTTGCCGGTCCTGCCCAGCAGGGGTAGGGAGGATTTTAATCCGAGGGAACCTCTGAATTTAACTGTCCAGAGAGACGTTATTAGTGGTGACTTGATGTTAAACGCCACTAGGATTTGTGTCTGGAAACCCTTCTCTCCCCAAGATCTCTAGAACCTCCTTGTAGAATCCCCCTATCTTGTAAATGCTTATTTGCTGCTAGTGCCTGGAGGCTAAGAGTCCCTGAGCTTTCAGGTGCAGTGACAGTTGACGACTTTCTGCCAGCTGCCTCATGGCTGATGTCCCCGGAGCCAGGGCTGGCTGTACCAGCCCGGTTGGTGAGGGCGCCGGGAAGACTGGAAGGGGGCAGGTACCATTTCCACTTCCGGGAGACATGCTTTGTTTTTCTGTGTGGATTTTGAATGCCACTTTATTTTACTAGCAAAGCCTGGCAACCTGCGTGCTGCAGGCTTTTAGTGGACCGGGTGGGTCTCAAGTGGCAGTTGGGCATTTCCCTCCTTTGTTGACGTAGGCAGCTCACCACCAAGAGTTTTCTGGAAGCTGTGGCTTTTCTGCCAGTGGCAGTCTTACTTTTGCGGCATCTGCACTGCTGCAGGTGTCTGGGACTCACTCATCGTTGGCCCTCCAGCCTGGCATTTGCTCCTGCACTGGGCCTTCTCATTGCCTTCTGCTAACAAGGGCCTAGAGTCACGGACACGACTCACCATCTCGCCTTTGGCCTGGTGCTTTGTGCAGTATAAGGAGCATTACTGAGCAAGGGTGGGTCTTGGCAGCTGGAACTCGCCCCCAGAAAGAAGCCCTTGCCTCAGCAGGTCCCAGCAGGAGCCGGGCTCCCAGCCTTCCTGACCGAGCTGCCTCACTTGTCTGGTGTGTGCACCCTCTTACTGGTTAATTATTTGTGCTTCGCACTGGTGGAACTTTCCAGAAAAGTGGGGAGCAGTGGTGTATGTCGGCTGTTTAGTGTGTCTTTGGCATTTCTAAACAGGAATGCTTTTATTTTTTTCATTACGTATGTATGCCTATATGCACGTATATATATATATATATATATGTATATGTGTGTGTGTGTGTGTGTGTGTGTGTGTGTATGTATTGCTATAGGGCGTGAGCTCGCTGGAGAGACAGAGCAACGGAAAACCAGAAATCACCCCCAAGGGGTGATGGCCCAGCTGCAGTCCCTTCACTATTTTCTTGGGATTTGGGGCATGCACGCACATGTGCCTTGCGTGAGTTTCAAGCCATGGGTTCTTGAATCGGTGTCAGTCCGAGACAACCATCACCACATCTGCTGGTCCTAGGACTACAGTTTCTTAAAGCCACAGCTGCGTCTGATTTCCTTCTAGAGAAAGCAAAGCAGCCTCCTTCCTTTCCTTATGAAGAGTTGCTTGGCTCAGATCAGAATAGATGGGAGAATATGAACTACTCAAGACCTTCTTGAAAGTAGAGATTGAGTCACTGAGCAGGAGAAAGATGAGGGAGAGGCCTGAGAGGCCTTTACTGCCCAGCAGGGGACAGCTGGTTTTGAAGGAGTGATGAGGAGCAGGGATCATGTGGGCCTGTGGGATTCAGCGGGCACAGGGGAGCCCAGGTGTCTTCCCTGTAAGCTTCCGGACAATTTCTATAACGCTTCTCTACAAAGCATTTACATAATAGTCAGTGATTGCTTTTAAGTTAAAAATCTTGACTTAGGAAGATGAAATGACCAGAAGTGATTATTGTTAGTAAAGGCTGGACCTGGGTCTCGAACACACAGAGAGCTACTGCACTCTGAAGACCTTCCCATGCAGCAGAAGCCATTGGGCATGAAGGAGTCAATCAGAGATTTTTTATTTAGTTATTTTCTTAAGAGAGAGATTTTGGCTATAGGGCGCATGTACCTGTGGGAGAGACGAGACCGAGAGTGAGAAATTACACCCTGGGGAGGATGGATACTCTGCAATTCCGTCTCCTCCACTCCCTCTCGGGATCCTGGGCATACATGCACACATACCAGGTGTCTTCAATCGCCTGGGTCTGGGACTTGAACCCTAGTGGGCCATATTGGAATCCAGCATCTTAACCAATATACCACCTGCTGGCCTCTAACCAGAGACTTGTTAGAAACCTGATTTGGGTAGGATTGTACGCATATTCCTTTACCTTCACCTTTATTTGTTCATTTTGTTCACCTTCACTTTTCAAGGGGATGAGAAGATGTTTCTTCCTTCCACTGTCTCTGAGATTTGTGCAGCAGCGAAGTCTATCACAGCGAGCCTCCTGGGATGAGGACGGCTGTGGTCTCAGCATGGAAGGTGTGGATGACATGTCCACATTCTCTTACGAGACAGTCATTTCAGAACAAGTCTTGCATCTCCCTGTGCTAAGCGCTTGCCTGGCTCCTTTGAAGTACAGGAGGCGCAGTGAGTTCGTGGATCCACTGAGCGGAGGAGGCGAGGGACTTCATGGATCCAGTGAGTGGAGGAGGCGCAGTGAGTTGGATCCAGTGAGCGGCGGTCCTCCTGTCCCTGTCACTCATCACTGAATCAGGCTGATTTTACTGTTCAGAGACACTGACATTCTTCCAATTCTATCCTCACACCGCAGGGCTGGAATGATTCAAGCGCTTTCCCACCAGCTTCCTAACTACTTTCTCCAGCCTAGAGTCATTACGTTTTGTAAAAACAAGACGAGACAAAACAATTCTGCAAAAGGAAAACAGAACACACCTTATTAAAAAGGCCAGCGGTGCTTCGTTTGCAAGGCTCAGGTGCACTCTGGATCCCGTTTTCCTAATACTTTGTGCTCACGCTAACAGGCACTAAAAGCTACGAGAAGCACCCTGTTCTGTTTTTTTTTTTTTTTTTCGTTTTGCTCACCTGCAGTTCCTGTGAGAGTGTGTACAGTGAGTGCTTTCAATTCCATGTCAGGGTTCATCTCTGTGAGCAAATTTCCCTATTAAACTCCGATATTGTGCTTTTATGGCATTTAATAGTTGGATACTATTACTATTATTATTATTATTACGGAGTGGTTTTTGTGTTAGGGCAAGCGCACTCTCGGGAGAGAGGGAGGCCCAGAGCGACAGAGACAAGTGAGGAAAAGCGAGAAATCAACCACGACAGGGGTGTGGGGGGAGATGGCCACGCCAGAATCCCTCCTTTTCCATTTTCGTCCTGGGATCCTGGGCAGACCGAACCGCTGTGGGCCACGCGGGAGTCCAGTACTGTAGACACTTTGCCACCTTCTGGTCCCTGTGGAGTACTATTATAATCAAAAGCCACATTCTGGGAACCAGCAGTTAGCGTAATGGCTATGTCGCTGGACTCCCACGTAGTCGACCGCGGTTCGTGTCCCGGACCCGGTGGCTTAAAACTCACGCCGGGCGCGTGTGCATGCGTGCCCAGGATCCTGAGAGGAGAATGGAGGAGAAGGGATTGCGGCATGACCATCCCCCCTGGGGGGTGATTTCTCGCTTTCTGTCTCTGTGTCTCTCTCTGTCTGTCTGGCGAGCGCATGTGCCCTACAGTGAAAATCTCTCCAAAAAAAAAAAGGAAAAAAAATAGCCACATTCCAATGCGTTCTTTTCTCTGGTCGACTAATTTGGTCTCGTCACGCACTAATCCAGGCGTGTGTGTTCATGTGATTCGTTTTCGATGGAGTCGATTACTGGCAGGCACCGACCAGCTCCAGTGACTTCGTCTGCTTTTCCGTGTGGTTAAGCCTGGGGTAATTCATTCCCAGCTTCTTTTAGGTGCCTTCTCTCTGGGGCCTACTTCGGGCCTACTCTAGGTCTCCCTAACCCTCTGAAGTATTTCATACCGAGGGTTGGGGCGCCTGCAGAACAGAGCAGGTACTTACACCCGTGTGGTAAGAGGGCCCTGATGTCCCACTGCAGTCCTTACTGTGGCACGTGGGAAGCGGGAGTGTGGACCAATGATGCCGTGGCGTTTCGGAGTCGTGCTGATGCTTAGTGATTGTTTTCATAAAACAAAGCTCCTGCCCTTTCAGAGATTATACACTTGTTTTTACTAATTAGAGGAGTCCTACAGGGGAACACGTGAAGCTGAGAGGAACATGCTCCCCATGCATTGCTGCTACACAGAACATGCGGCCGGGGTCAGTGTGTGGTCTGGGAGAAAAAGGCCAACGGAGAAGCACGTCTGGCGTCATCCGGGGCTCTCTAGGGGCATGCCTGACACAAGTTGTGTGTGAGGCTACACCACACAGGGGTCTCCTTGCACGGTGGCCAGGGGCCGAGCAGGGTGTGCAGTTCCCATGTTCGTGCAGTTACAGGTCTGTGCAATGCTCGGAAGGATGGCAGGGCAGTGGGACTTCCCGATCGGCTCAACACTGTAGGCCTTAGAGCCCGCCCATTCTCTGAACACCACAGAAGCACGCAGATGGAGTGAGGCAGACGGGTCAAGTGGTTAGGGACAACAGGTTAGACAGGGAGCAGTGACGGGCCGGAGGCAGAACAGACGAGAAAACCAGTTAACACACTTGGACTCAACGAAAAGCACGCTCTCTGCTTTTGTCCTGGCCCAAATGAGCATTAGGCTTTATTAAGGCAAAGTGGTAGAAACCAGGGACCCAGCGCAAGTTCCTGGGCTGGAATTTTAAATGACCAGGCCTGATGGAAACCGCAGGTCAATAAGCTTGAAAACCAAGAAATTACCCACTACACATAGATCACCCATGGGGCTAGGGACATGTCCCCTACCTTAAGCAGGCCTAATGGAACCAATAGCCACCATAATTACACATACCAAGGGCACCCACACCACCAGCTCAGGTGAACAGTAACCATTAACCTCACAGAGCCCACTCCTTCCCCCAAGGCCTGGCAAAACCTCGGGCTCCTGCTCCTTCAGGGGCTGCTAGTTCAAGAGCTGCCCTTTCAGGCTGTGAAGAGCTTTTTCTTCCTTCTCTCACTGCAGAACCGCTTGCTTACTGAGGACCTTGTCTCATTCCTAGTGGGCTGTGGACAACGACCCTGAGCCCCCAGCAGCCTCGTCCCTCTGTACCCCAGTGCCACCATACATGTCAGTCTTCCTTTGACAGTTCTCCAGGTGGTCAGGTCCTGGCATAGCTGATGGGGACTGCAGTGATGTGGAGTGTTCAAAATAGCAGAGCCCGGCGGGGAGAAGCTGGGCTTTCACCTCTCCGACACTTGGCTTACTCTCCATACCTGTTCAGTACCAATACTCGGGGAGGTCAGCCAGCCAGCCAGTGGCTCCTTAGCAGGAGCCTGGTCCTTTGGGGTTCCCCAGCAGGGGCATGGGGTTGAATCCTTGATTGTTCAGACAGGCCCTGGGGACCCCATAAGTCCCTAGGGAAGCCCCTGAAACCGGTGCCTACTGACCAGAGGTTCAGACAGCGTCCAGGCAGGGAGCCCACTGGAAGAGCGCCAGGAGTCAGAAAAGGAAGACGCAGCGGCTGGGAAAGTAGCAAAACCCTAAGGGGAAGGCCGCTGCGCCCGGCAGCCAGGGGAACAGAAGGGCAGGTCCAGCGCGTACACTGTGGAGAGGCGGAAGAACTGCAAGGTCGGGTGACAAAGGAAGCTATACCGCACATGGCTGACTCCACGGCTCCGATCTCGACCCTGGCGGCTTGAAAAGCACTTGGCAACCTCCGTATGAATGGCCAAAGGTAGAAAACAGAGGGTTGCAATGCGGCCAGTGAGGAGCGTTTCTCTAGCAACTGAACACACCCTGTAGCAAATCTCAGGAAACTATCCAAGATAAAATAGTCTGCTGAAATTTTCAGAAAGGGCCACAACCCCTAAGTATTTTGTTTTAAGTTTTAACAATTAAGGTCCAAGGGCATCGAGGCCAGGTGTCACAACTCTCCTCAGACAACGTGGGTGGCTCTGAAAAGAGCCTTTGTTTTTTGTCCCTTTGTCTCAAGTACAGCAGTTTACGCCCTTTCCCCACGGATACGGCGCGCCAGCTGGATGTCCTTGGGCATGATGGTGACGCGCTTGGCGTGGATGGCGCACAGGTTGGTGTCCTCGAACAGCCCCACCAGGTAGGCCTCGCACGCCTCCTGCAGCGCCATGACGGCCGAGCTCTGGAAGCGCAGGTCGGTCTTGAAGTCCTGCGCGATCTCGCGCACCAGGCGCTGGAACGGCAGCTTGCGGATCAGCAGCTCGGTGGACTTCTGGTAGCGGCGGATCTCGCGCAGCGCCACGGTTGCGGGCCGGTAGCGGTGCGGCTTCTTCACGCCGCCCGTGGCCGGGGCGCTCTTGCGGGCCGCCTTGGTGGCCAGCTGCTTGCGCGGGGCCTTGCCGCCGGTGGACTTGCGCGCCGTCTGCTTAGTGCGGGCCATGGCTGACGCAGGGGTTGAGTGAGGAAGCGGGCCCCTCGCTCTCTATTTATACCGGATCGGACCGCGCTGATTGGACTACGGAAAACGCCTGTGCGTCGTGGGCGCTGACATCCGGAAGTGCCCGGAGCGGGTTTTGGTAGGTTTATGCTTTTAATGGAAGTTTCTGATTGGAAAATTTCAACGAGGACAGCCAGTCCTTTAAAAATTGATCTTGTAAATTTTTGAGAAGACGCTACACACTGCACACGAGCCCCAGGCTCAGTAACGGCAGACCTCGCCGCCCGTGCGTTTTCGTCCTGTGTGGCTTACGGAGCAGAACGCTCTCCAGACAACGTGCTTTAGAATTCCGCTCTTCATAACCGCCATTTTCTTAGCAGATGGGTTTGGATTCCCAGCGTATCCACCTATTTAGAAATACAAGTTCTAGGCACCTCTGTAGGAGCCCTAGTTCTTTATACTTAGGGTAAATTGCTTAGTCATTGAATCGCTGTCTTTTGCATGCGTTGGTTAAATGTACACTGCGCTTCATCCCTGGGGCGCGCAGCAAAATTCTGGAATCTTGGAGCCCTCGGCTCCCAGTCGCCTTTGACTCAAGCGGGCGATTTAGCGTGTTTGCCTTGCTTTGCTGAATTTAAAACGTCAGTCTCGGTATGAGGGTAAAACCCGCTAGGAAAACAGTACACCTTGAAAACGTTCCTTGTAAAGATGGCGACACGGTGTCAAGAGGGGTGGCGCGCGGCGCCGGGGCTCCTCCCCGAGAGACCAGGCTGTCCTGCACTGCGGATGACACGCCCGACCACGGCCGCCGGGACAGGACTCACCCGCAGAACAAGTCCTTTCCTTCATGTCGAAAAACGACAGTTCCTATTGCTTAATAAAATTAAAAGGAAAAAAACTTAATGTTGAAAAGTTCGGATTGTTAGTGAATGAGATTATAGCATCGGGTGGAATTGTGAACCGGCCTATGAATTCTCTGCAACGGGCTTGAAGTCTAGCCAATAACAAGAGAGGTTTCAAAATTATGTGTTACATTCTGTGAATTTATTGGCTGCTTTGGTCCAATCAGAGTTTAGATTCTAAATGTCGGTTTGCTTCTTGTGGCTCTCAATACTGCCTTGTTTTTTTAGCTCTGGGGGAGCTGGTGTGTTGGTGGTCGCATTAGTGTGTGTTTATCTTTTTTTTTTTTTTTTTTTTTTTACTGGTTATAACCCTGGAACTTGCAAAGTATTCCACAGCTATTTAAGAGGATTCCAAACAAGCATTCCCAAGAAAATGGGAAACAAGAAACTCTTTGCCCGGGGTGAGGGGTTGTGTGCTAGGGGCGTTATGGGTCTTCTGTGCAGGGGCTGAACAGGTGTTCCTTGCCCTTGGCATCTCGTCCAGGGCCATGGGAATTGTGAGCGGTCTCTTCCAGCACATCACGGAGAGGTCTCGTACCATTCCATTGCAGCGTGTTCTCCATTTTCTATTCCCGGCGTCATGTGTACCACACTCATGTTCTTGGCCTTCTCCAAAGATCAAAAGAATAATTCCATCGTTGGTGCCGGGGCTGTTAGACCATGATGAAAGCACCTGTCCCTGGTTTCTAGGACACACGTCGGGCGCTCACCTTCTAATGCAGTGCCCTTTCCTCTGTCTGCCCTGTCCACTTGGACAGCTGCACTTCCTGACAGTGACACAATGTCACTCCCACCGACAGGGACACGATGTCACTCCCACCGTTTTCCCTGGACTAGCTCTGGGGATGTCCCATTTCTTGGACCTGAACGTTTGGTCTCCCTACTGTTTTGGAGTGTTTCCAAAGTACGTCTCTGACTGCTGGGAGTGAGTTTCCAAGCCCATTTCATTTCTTGCTTAGCTTGGGACTCTGGTTATTATAACCTCGCGTACGCGCTTCTGGCTCAGATTCCCTGCTTCTTTTTGGCTTTTTTTTCTTTCATTCTTTCTTCCTTACTTTCTCGTTCCCCTGGCTTTCATTCATTGCATCATTCCATTCATCGTACAAGGAAAATGAACAGGCGCCTTCCCTGTTCCACGTGGGTGTAATAGGTCACGCCACTCGGAGTCGGTATCACACCAGGGATCATTGCGGGGTCTTTACTGCAGAATCAATAAGACAGAAGAGTCTCAAGAAACAAAGGAAATTGGGGCCGGCAGGTGGTGTAGTGGGTAAGGCACTGGGTTCCCACATGGCTGACTGTGGTTCTAGTCCTAGAATTGGCAGCTTGGAAATCGCGCTGGGTGTGTGTGTGCACATTCCAGATCCTGAGAGGAGAACAGTGGAGAAGGGACTGCAGCATCCCAACCTCCAGAGGTGATTTCTCACTTTCCCTCTCACTGTCTCTTTATCTCTGTCTGACAAGCACAAAATCCTTTTGTAGAAATGTTATTTTCCTTCTGACATTGTCCACAAGGGCACTTTTTCTCCTGTTAGTCTTTCTGTTTTGTGGAGGTTGGGTATGTGGCATATGAGCTAGCTGGAGTGCGACAGAGATGAAGTGAGGAAGACCCCCGCAGTGATGGCCTCACCCCAATCTGTTCTCCGGTCTTTTTCCCAGATTCTGGACACAGATGCACGCATGCCTCTGTGTTTTTGAAGCTGCCTGGTTCTGGATTTGAACAGCTCCATCTGCCATGTGGGTTCCAGCCACCTTAAGCAGCACACCGCTGCTGGCCCTGTCTTGCTCTCGTGAGGAGAAGGTGCCGGTCAGGTTGCCCTTCTTACACCTGCCACTATTTTTGTTCTGCTGCTTTTTAGGTTTTTGCCATTAGGCGCTCACTGGAGAGGCAATGACCTGAGACTTAGTTCAGGGGGCGGCCATGCTGGGTCCCTTCCCGCCACTGTCCTCTCAGGATTTCAGAGGTGCACACACGTGCACTTGGCGTGATTTTCAAGCCACCAGGTCTGGGACTTGAACAACCCGGTAGGCCATGAGCGATTCCAGTCCTTAGCCACCATGCTACCTGTTTGACCCCACACTTGTTTTTTTAATGGCTGTTTTCAGTTCTAAGGAATTCCAATGCTGACATGGTGTGCTTCGGGCTGGAATATCCACATCCAAGACAAGGAAGTCTGTGCTTTGGAATTTAAAAAAACGTCTTTTCCTTTGCAAGCATTCCCACTTAGAAAGCCTTCCTGTGAGGGAGCTATGATTACTTAGGAAGGATGCAGAAGGGGTAAAGCTGGGACTCCTCATAGAAACTCATCTTGCGCGACCAGTAGATGGCGTAGTGGTTATGTCGTGGACTTTCTCCTAGTGGGCCTTGGTTGTAGTGCTGGACCCGGCAATCTGGAACTCAAAAATCTGAAACCCAAAAACTCACGCTGGGCGCTTGTGCATGCCTGGCCAAGATCTCGTGAGGGGAATGGAGCAGGGACTGCGGTGTGGCCATATGCCCTGGGGGGTGATTTCTCGCTTTTTTCTCTCGCTCACCCTGGCCATTGCATGTGTCCTAGAGAAAAACTCTCTCTCTAAAAGAAGAAGAAATTAATCTTGCTCATGCACTCTCCTCTTTTTTCAAACACAAATTCAGTGTGAGGAAAATTGTGAGACTTGGAAGTCTGGACCAAGGGAGGAGCTACAGTGCCCAGTATCATACAAAGGTGAAAGCCCGGAGGAGATCACAGAAGGGTGTGCCTGCTCCCTCTTACCCTTCGGTGCTGATTAGAGGGACCAACCTGCGTGAAATCACGTTAGCCTGTAGAGTAAAAAAAATTTTTTTAAAGAGTTATTTACTTTATTAAATTTATTTTTATTATTATTAAGTCATGAGAGAGAGAGTAAAAGAAAGTGAGAAAGCAAGCTACCGGGTCCAGGACTTGAGCCTCCGTTAACCATGTGGGAGTCCAGCACCTTAACCACCGCGCCACCTGCTGGCCCTTAGCCTATAGATTTTTTTCTGTTAGGGACACAACTAATTTCTGTTCAGTGAATAGTTAAAAGTTAAAATCTGAAGATTGAAGGCCTTTTGGACATGAATTGTTTTAATCTCCTTCAGCCATCATACCCTAACATTTTCTTGCTAATATTCTAGAAAACACTTCAATTTCTTGAATGCTGTGGAGCTTATGAAGCATTTGCCCCTGTTGCTTCATTTATTCGATATGTATTCGTTTCATATTTCTGGGATGACTTGAAGTAGCAGGAAAATGAGAGCTGTCACATGCTGTTGCTGGAAAGTAGAGTGACAAGAGGAGCCGGAACTTTTGCAGCCAGGGCTTGTCCCCCAAGGACACCTCCAGGCCTCATGGGACCCCGTGATAGGAAGGTGGGTCGTTCCCCAGGCATGGGCTCCCTAAAGACATGAGCAGGGCTCTGGTCCCTCAGGACAGTTGTGAGACTTGTCAGGAAATGCCGGAGTCTCACAGTCAGTGTGGAGAGGTGGATCACATCTATTTCATGTCACATAAAGCGTGGTCCAAAGGCCAGCGCAAGGTGCTTTGTCCATTAAGGAGACGTGTTTCCCTTGGTCTGCAAAGGCCCCGTCTTGGCAGGTGCCCCAGGACCTCAGTGATGTTTGCACACGACAGGGAAAGCCGTCTCTGGGCAGCGGACAGGGTGACAATGTCCATGTGCCATCGGACGTTAGCTATTTGGGTTTAGGTTTGTCTTTTGTTCTAATTTTAATATTTCTCTTGTAAACTACATATATTCTTGATAGTTTGCTATAGTGCCTGGGATCTCCCTTACTGATGAGTTATGGATCAGAAACATATTTATTGCACAGAAGAGATTTAATTTTTTATTTTGGTTTTTACACTTTGCTAATTGTCATAAGGTAATGACATGAAAGACTAATTTGTCCTTGGAAAAAGAAAGATATGCTCGTCTTTTTAGGCGACTGAGGCTCATCAGGTGCATTTGAGACCCATTAGGAGCTTGCTGTAAATTGAAGACTGAAACCGCTCCTCCAGCACTCTCCATGTTAGGGTGAGGCGGCAAGTCCTGGCACCACCTGGAACCGTCCTTCTGATAATCAATCTCTCCAGACTGTCCCACCCACCTTCCTACTCCTCCTTGCCACCACACTAGCCTGGTTTGAAGTTTGATGTGGGGAGCTCCGGAGTCATCTCCTGTAAGACTGTGCCCCACTGCACACCGGGAAAGCGTGACCCACATGGAATTCTGTTAGAGCCCCTGTGCACTTCTCATTTCCATGTTTACAAACTCGTGGAAAAAGGAAAACGAGAAGAAAAATTCTCACCAGGGAAGGTTGAAAGAAGTGAATGCATTACAACAGCTTTTACTAACAAGTGAGGGCCCTCCGTGGCCAGGGCTTGCGTGGCCCGTGGTAGTGGTGGACCTGTGCTGTCTGCTCCGTGCAAGCCCCCTGGAGCAGAGGAGAAGGGATGGAGGATAGCACCCCAGCACCCTGCAGGGTAACCCAGCCAGCTCACAGGAGAAAGGACTGGATTCTCTTCAAAGATGGAGCATTTAACCAGTCTTCATTTCAAGTTTCGTGCACACAAATTAGGCCACAGGATCTCCATTTAATTTACCGTTATCAGAGTATTTACTTACATTTCCCAGTAAGAACCAAGGTAATACATTTCCCAGTGAGAATCTAAACAATTCCCTGTGGTAAGAACAGGGCCATGCCTTACATCTTAAATATCCCACCTTGAGATTGGCTGGCACCCCTCCTTTGTTCCTCATCTCCTGTAGTATTTTGTGGTTCTGTGACACACAGTCGGAGAAGGCAGCTCACATACCATGACTTGCCGTCCACACCCGGAGTGTAGCCTTCAACCTAAAGTTGAGTCTTGACATGCTTTTGGGACTTGTCCATTGCACTAGCTTTCTGTGTCATCTTGTGGTCATCACTTCATTCACTGCTTGAGTATTTGGTCACTGTTAGAATATTGCATCTTTTGTTCTAGTAAGAGACCAGGAGGCATCTTTCACGTTTCTTTTTTTGAGTTTAAATTGTTACTTGGGTCAACAAATTACAAACAGACCTATCAATGCCCAGCACTGAGACTAAGTCTTAAATAAAACGCTTAACCCCAAATTGGGGAAATGCTGAATCACATAAAGTGGCATGCGCCCTCATAAGTATTCCAGCACTTCATGATAAAGTGGGTGGCTCTGAAAAGAGCCTTTGGTTTCCGATCGGGGGTCAATGCTGGAATAAATTCTAAGGCTTTCACTTCCCCTTGGCCTTGTGGTGGCTCTCGGTCTTCTTGGGCAGCAGCACGGCCTGGATGTTGGGCAGGACGCCGCCCTGCGCGATCGTCACCTTGCCCAGCAGCTTGTTGAGCTCCTCGTCGTTGCGGATGGCCAGCTGCAGGTGGCGCGGGATGATGCGCGTCTTCTTGTTGTCGCGCGCCGCTTTCCCCGCCAGCTCCAGGATCTCGGCCGTCAGGTACTCCAGCACGGCCGCCAGGTAGACCGGCGCGCCGGCCCCGACCCGCTCGGCGTAGTTGCCCTTGCGCAGCAGGCGGTGCACGCGGCCCACCGGGAACTGCAGCCCGGCCCTGGAAGCGCGGGTCTTGGCCTTGGCGCGCGCCTTGCCGCCCTGCTTGCCGCGTCCAGACATACTAAGTAAGCAGAGAAAGCGAACTAAAAGCCGCAAGGAGGGATAAAGAGGACTGTCTTCTCGTGCGCGGTCAGAGACCAGTTATAGCGAAGGGTGGAAGTGTAAATCGCGAGTTCGGATTGGTTAAAATTATCTATTGAGTCGCTAACCAATAAGAACGCTGTGATGCAACGATATTTGCATATCTCCGTCACTAAGACGTCTTCAAATCAGATGTGGATATTCCTAAATCCGTTATTTGCATAGAAGGCCTATAAAAGAAGGAAGTTGGCCGAGAAGCCATTTTTTATGCTGTTTTTCTCCCCGTGTATGAGTTTCATGCAGTCATGCCTGAGCCAGCGAAGTCGGCTCCGGCCCCGAGGAAGGGCTCCAAGAAGGCGGTGACCAAGGCGCAGAAGAAGGACGGCAAGAAGCGCAAGCGCAGCCGCAAGGAGAGCTACTCGGTGTACGTGTACAAGGTGCTGAAGCAGGTGCACCCCGACACGGGCATCTCGTCCAAGGCCATGGGCATCATGAACTCGTTCGTCAACGACATCTTCGAGCGCATCGCGGGCGAGGCGTCGCGCCTGGCGCACTACAACAAGCGCTCGACCATCACGTCGCGGGAGATCCAGACGGCCGTGCGCCTGCTGCTGCCCGGGGAGCTGGCCAAGCACGCCGTGTCCGAGGGCACCAAGGCAAAGGCTCTTTTCAGAGCCATGTACCTTGGTACTTAGGGGTTTGTAATACGTGTTGATACCTTTAAGTTTCAGGCTTCCAGTGTTTTCTCACTAAAAATCTCCTTTACACCTGTCAGTATTGAGAGCTGCTGGTAGTTGAAATAACTTCTAGCGTTCTGGGTTCGAGTAGCTCCCTGCTAACCTTTGCTCAGGCATCGTTTTCCCACGTGTTTTAACTACACCTATTTGGTTCCACTGCCACGTTCTCTGAGGCCCCCGTGTTCCACAGTGCTTTGGCGAGTTGGTATTGAGTACTGTGTGTGGGGGGAGGTCCCAGTGGTTGAGTTTTTGTGAGGACCTGGTGTGTCATTCCTTCAAACGAATCATCCCTGGGCTTTCCATTTTTTCATGGGTCTCCTTTACCAGTGAACCAGTGAAGTGCCTGGCCATAGTGAGGCAATATGCACGCTTTCCGACTCATTCTGTATCGGAGTCTGGATGTTCGTCATTTCTCTGCGGTGCCCATCTCCAAGGTGGATGTGCGCCTCCCACTGGCAGTAACAAGTTGTGCCATTTGTTTTTCACATAGAGATGGGACACGTCTAAGCTGCAGTGTCACCGCTCCATCTCACCCCAATGCTGCGCCCTTCGGTGGGCTGTAATGCAGCACAGATGCAGTGGGCCTCTCACTCTTCTCTGCTTCCTGGGCGCTGCCAGAGACAGCTCGCCCAAGCAGTACGCTTCCTGGATCAGCAAGGGAGTGTGTAAGAGGGAAGCCAGGGTCATTTGTCACACTGTCATTGACAGCCCGTCCTTCGCCTTTCTTCATTAGAACCCATCCTTAGCTGGTCCCTTTGCCTGGGGACTGTGTGTAGGCGGCTGTGTTTGTCCAGATGGGGCCTCGGGGAGACGTCTCAGGTGCTCCTGACTGAGTTAGTAATGGGAGCCATCAACACTGCGGCGCATGTGCATGCTCCTCTGGGCAGAGAAGGCCCCGACCCCTGTGATCACAGTCACAGGCGGACCATGGCATCCTGTGAGCAGGAGAGCCTGGGGGTGGGGACTTAGGATGAGTTATCTGCCTCAGTCCTCCTCTAGACCACCTGTCCCCCACTGGGAGGAGGCTGGGCCTCTGCACACAGCCTTCCCTTTGCCCATCCACCCAGTGTCAGCTGGGTTCCTGAGAGACAATGAAAACGCCCCGTCAGGGAGGCGGAATGGAGGAGGCAGGGAAGGGACACTTCAGTCCTGTCCCTGTCCCCAACAAGGGCTTTCAGCCTGGCTTTTGAAATGGATTCAGCTTGTAGGTTATTAGACTCATCCTTGTCACACTCAGGAGTTCTGAACCTGAGCCCTGCCAGTCCGCTGTCCAGGCTCCTGGGGCCCTGGCCCTGGGGTGGCCCTGACCCTGGGGTGGCCCTGTACTGGTGACGACCTCAAGTCTGCAATGGTGTCTTGTAGTCGTCTAGTGCTTGTGGCAGCTTTTTCCTGGCTGGAATGTGTGAGACTTGGCCCAACCTGCCCTCAGTGGGGGCCCTTGTTCCCTCAGTCCTGAGTCCCTGCTGGGGGACTTCCCTCAGTGCAGGCCCTTGTTCCCTCTGTCCTGAGTCCCCGCTGGGGAACTTCCCTCAGTGCAGGCCCTTGTTCCCTCAGTCCTGAGTCCCTGCTGGGGGACTTCCCTCAGTGCAGGCCCTTGTTCCCTCTGTCCTGAGTCCCCGCTGGGGAACTTCCCTCAGTGCAGGCCCTTGTTCCCTCAGTCCTGAGTCCCTGCTGGGGGACTTCCCTCAGTGCAGGCCCTTGTTCCCTCTGTCCTGAGTCCCCGCTGGGGAACTTCCCTCAGTGCAGGCCCTTGTTCCCTCAGTCCTGAGTCCCTGCTGGGGGACTTCCCTCAGTGCAGGCCCTTGTTCCCTCTGTCCTGAGTCCCCGCTGGGGAACTTCCCTCAGTGCAGGCCCTTGTTCCCTCAGTCCTGAGTCCCTGCTGGGGGACTTCCCTCAGTGCAGGCCCTTGTTCCCTCTGTCCTGAGTCCCCGCTGGGGAACTTCCCTCAGTGCAGGCCCTTGTTCCCTCAGTCCTGAGTCCCTGCTGGGGGACTTCCCTCAGTGCAGGCCCTTGTTCCCTCTGTCCTGAGTCCCCGCTGGGGAACTTCCCTCAGTGCAGGCCCTTGTTCCCTCAGTCCTGAGTCCCTGCTGGGGGACTTCCCTCAGTGCAGGCCCTTGTTCCCTCTGTCCTGAGTCCCCGCTGGGGAACTTCCCTCAGTGCAGGCCCTTGTTCCCTCAGTCCTGAGTCCCTGCTGGGGGACTTCCCTCAGTGCAGGCCCTTGTTCCCTCTGTCCTGAGTCCCCGCTGGGGAACTTCCCTCAGTGCAGGCCCTTGTTCCCTCAGTCCTGAGTCCCTGCTGGGGGACTTCCCTCAGTGCAGGCCCTTGTTCCCTCTGTCCTGAGTCCCCGCTGGGGAACTTCCCTCAGTGCAGGCCCTTGTTCCCTCAGTCCTGAGTCCCTGCTGGGGGACTTCCCTCAGTGCAGGCCCTTGTTCCCTCTGTCCTGAGTCCCCGCTGGGGAACTTCCCTCAGTGCAGGCCCTTGTTCCCTCAGTCCTGAGTCCCTGCTGGGGAACTTCCCTCAGTGCTGACCCTTGTTCCCTCGGGGACGCTTTTTCATGGACAGTTCTTCCTAGTAGGGAGAGCATTTACCCCCGGAGCCAACAGTACAGGTGTTTGAGGGCCTTCGACAGGCCTCTGGGGCACACCGCTTCTTCCTCTAGCCCACTCAAGACTTGCTTTTTGGCCGATTTCAAGGTAGATATGAAGTCCTGCAGGACACAGCAGTGTCGGCCAGTGCGGAGGGACAAAGGCTCGCTGTGAATGCCTTCCTTAAAGTGCTGGGCATCAGAGCAGACAAGGGCATGCTGACAAGCCGGGGCTGGCAACCAGCAGCTGAGTCCCACTCTGAAAACTCACATCCTCCTCTCCCCTAACCCTTGCCCTTCCAGGCCAAACCATCACAGCCCTCCCCACAGGACCCACAAAAGAACAATTAGAGTCAAAAGCTATGGCCTGCTAGTTTCTTTTGAACTCTGGAATCTGAAGTCTCATGGAGAAGCCAGCTGGGCCCAATTTAAACTATGAAATAAGCCCAAAACACAGAACCCAGACTGCACGGAGAATCACACCAGAGAAAATGACGTCCATCGGAACCAATGTGGCAGCCATCAACAAGCCTGAAATAATACAGAATCTTTGCGACTACTACCCAATACTATGTTGTAAAAAGCCTTACACAGCTTAGGTTCTTGCCATGGTGGGATGGGCTCATTCATGAGCTCCCCTTTACGTGTTTTGGCGGTGACAACAGCTGCTCAGCACGGGGAATGGCTCCTGCGGTGACAAGTCACCTAGACCAAAGGCTTCTCTGGTCCCATCACATCCAGGAAGAAGGTAATGGTCTCTATGGCTTAGAGCTTTGTGATAGAGACCTTCGTACCCGCTCCAAAGTTAGGAAGTGACCGGGCCCCTCACGTGTAACCCTCCACGAGGGCAATGCATGCCCAAGCGGAGCGCCTCCTGGGAAGCAGCCCAAAGGAAGCCTCTCTGACCAGATGGAAACCCTCCCCTCAGGGCTTGTTCAGTCACCCATTTGGGACTGTGCTCTGCATAGGCGCTCTGTCCCTTCCTTTCCTTAACTAACTGCACTCGCTTTCCCTGTTCTGTGTCCGTATCTCCAATTCTTCTTCCATGGGAGACAGAATCAGATATGCTGCTGCTTCCGCACTGGCTACTAGGCCCATGCACCCCAACTTCCTGCATACCTGAGAAGTGATGGTGGGAAGCTCACGGGTGTTTTCAGTTACAGCCGGACATCTCTGCAAGGCCCTCGGAAGATCATGCTTGGTATTTGAATTCTGCCACCAAAATAAGCTTTGGTCTTTACGCGCTTTGTTCTTTTTTTTTATTGAGGCAGAATATTACTGAAATTAGCTCTGCTGACATTTCTGGGAAAACAGACTCAGTAATTTCAAATAAATGCTGATGTCTGAGGGTTTCATATTTATAGTATCATTTGTGAACATTATGAGCTACATGTTTCTTTCAATCATACATATATGTATGATTTTCTGTAGGGTGAATATGCTCACTGGAGAGAGAGAGAGGGAGACTGAGAAATCATTCCCTCCAGGAGGGAGGACCATGCGGCAGTCCCCTCTCCTGCATTCTCCTTCTGAATTTTGGGCACTCATGCATATATACCCTTTGTGATTTTTAAGCCAGCAGTTCTGGGACTCGAACCACGGTATATTGTGTGGGAGTTTAGTGTATTAACCACTATGCCACCTACTGGCTCTAAAATCTTACTTTTTAATATGACGAGTACAAAGTTTCTGCAGAAATTTGTGTTATAATTAGAAGAAATAATGATGCTAGAAAGCATAGAGGTTTGTTCCATTAATTTAGACTTCTTTGTAAAAAGCACACATCCCAGACATTTGCAAAAATGAAATGTGAACTGCTGCTGTTAAAACCTGAATGTTTCCTGGGGTCTGCAGGGCATATGGCGGTTAGTGTGCAGGGCTCCCACAGAGCCAACCACTGTTCGAATCTCAGAGCTCGTGCCTTGCTTTCTCTCTTCCTGTCTCTCTCTTTCTGTCTGTCCCTGGTGACTGTATATGCCTTGTAGCTAATTATAAATAGAATAGTAATACATAAAATAAAATAAACAATTATTTTAAAAAATCCGAATGTTTTCAAAATCATGCCAGCATGCAATGTTTAGGACAAACTTACATGCATGTATGTGCGCACTTCAAAAAATTCACTTAGAATGTGTATTTTAAAAAAATATGCATGACTTTTAAAATGTTTTTCACCAAAATAACCCATACATAGATTACATTTTCTATGAGTTAAAAGAAAATCCCTTTCATTTAATTTTAATAGCATGTACACTTTAAATGTAAATGCGTTTAGCTATAGTTTTTTCAAATTATTCATGTGAAGTACATCAACCAATAATTTTATACTTATGTGTTTATATTAGTTTCCTGTTGGTGGTTTGAAGTCTTACAGTTGTGACTTAGAACAAAACCAGTTTATGTTTATAAAATCGTGAAGATCAAAAGTATCAAAGGGACCTAAGAATGAAGACCTGTTTCTTAAATCTTCAGCTCTGTGAGACCGTTCCATTTCCTTGGCTCAGGATCTGCCCCTTGCATTTCCAGGCCAGCAGGCCTGGGCCAAACCTCTCTTATCCTTCCATCTTTCTCATCCCTCATTCCTTTTCCGTATTCCACTTTTAATGGCCCCTGTGAGAAAATCTAGCACATAATCTATTCTAGGGCCAGCCACCTAGCTGTCTCAGTGCCTCTACAGTTCTCAGTGACCCCCTGCAAGTGACCGTAGCTGCAGGGATACACAGCTTCAAGGGGTACTACGTGGACATCCTTTTACTTTTTATTTCACTGGGGCACAATAATTTTATAATGTGATAAGAAGCTACATAATTTCCATTCTGCACAGGGCAAACACATAGACAGTGTTTGCAAGTATTTCCAGGAACTTCATAAGCTCCCCTAAAAATAAGGTAGACATTGGCTTAGGTATTGCCATACATCTGGGGCCACAGAACATCAGCGTTGCCTACATCGATTCATATAAAGCTATCTGGTGTTGTGAGTCTTTATTTTCCTAGATATGTCTTGTTTTCATCCTATGTGTTGTGTGTTTTGTTTTGGAATGTTTATATAGCATTTGGGTATGTTGTGTGTGTTGTTTATGCATTTCTTTTGTAGGAGTGGGAAGTTTGTTATTCTTGAATGAAATTATACCAGGATGTAGAATGCTAATACCATTTCATTGACCAGGTTAAAATTCTGAAAATATTTTGTGTGTCTTCTCTTATTTATGTCACATCAGAGGCTATTCATGGCAGTTTATAGTCTTAAGTAAGGGCTGCACTCACAGGAAGAAATATTTTGCATTCCAATATCTCCGTATGTGCTACCACACAGGGCTGCAATGTTCTGATACCTGGAATTAGTGACAGGTACGTTACGTATTTCTTTTTTCATTTAAAGAGGACTCCTTTTGCCAAACAGGAATAAATTACTATGAAGCTACCCCTGAGAAAAGATACCTAATTTTAAGGCCAGGCACTATAAACACTTGGTTTCTTTCCTGGACTGCCAGAAATGAGGTCCCCTGAGCTGCTATGCTAATGCTTGCAGCATTCTCCACACAGATGCACTCCAGAAATTCCCAGTTATGATGGAGATGGTGGCATCTTCCATTTTCACATAGGAGATGTCTGGATTCTCTCTTTGGAGGAGTCATGTTGCTTTAAGCCGATAAGAACGCATGGTTACAGCCCCTAGTTAGCTATTTTCTGCACCAGGCTATATCACCAGCAGAAGGGCGCCAGGACTGAGTCCTCTCCATTTTCCTCTAACGTTGAATAAGGGGCATTATCACAACACAGCTCATGTACACTTGACTGTCAGCACTTTGTCTAAACTTGTGGCCAAAGAGGGCTTGGAAACTCATCCAGTAAACTACCTGTTAGGACAGCATTCGGTCTTCCACCAGTCAAAACTAGTTTTCCTCTGCAACCGCCACAGAGCAGTAAGGCTAAAATGAATGGAGGAAACAACGCAAGCCTGCAACCATTGTCCGGCAGATACTGGTCATTACGCCTCTTACACTGAGTACACCCCTTCTTCGGGGCCAGCGCCGACTTGGAGGGCTCAGGCATGATGGACAACTCGAAATCTAGAAGAATGATGCGTACCCTTCCTAAAACGCAGTTCTCATTTGCAGTGCTTCTATGCTAACGCAGTGCTTGACAATGATTGGACTGTTTGCGCGCACAATGTACTATTCAAATCACGTCATTCTAGTACGTGTTTGTATTGGTTGAGAGATCGTGGCTATTTATCCAATCAAATGGCGTAATTTACAATCCGACTTGTGGGTATAATAGCTTCTGATTTGCCAATTTCGCTCACAAGTATTGTCCTTCTTTCCACCGGTGGACGTCTTTGTATACCTCTTAGGATGTCTGGTCGCGGCAAGCAGGGAGGCAAAGCGCGCGCCAAGGCCAAGACCCGCTGTTC